TGGAGTAAACGTTTTTTTTTATTAATAGATAGACAAGCACGGAGGTGTGAAAATATTGGTTTTTTTATAAATTCAAAATAGTTTCAGACGAAATGGGGTGCGTGAATATCTACTAGGGGAACCAAATGCTTTGAAAAGCCAGTTTCCCATTTGGGAAATGCAATGCGTTTCCAGGGAGCCGGACGCATGCACCCTTATCTCCTTTCATCATTCCTCCTGTGGGTTCTGATTCCACGTTACAGTGCTCCTGGCTGGAGAACGGATCACACAGTCTCTTCTGGCACTGGTGACTGTTGAAGGCTCCTCAGTAACACTGAACTGCAGCACCATCACCTTGCTCAGCTTCGTGAAGTGGTACCCGTGGGGTAACAGGCAGGAGCCCCAGCTTCTGGTCACGGCCTCGGGCAGCGTGGTCGGAACAGGCAGGATTCAGGCTGCTCTTCACCGGGAACAGAATTATAGCATTTTGACCATCAGAGACACCGGGATGAACGCTGCTGCCATCTGCCTCTGCCATGTGATCATCACCATGATGCAACCAAATCAGCACCCAATACAGGAACGCCGAGGAGACAGAAACTATACTGACAGTTCACTATCTCAACCACAACAACCTTACAGAGGTGCAGCAATAACGGAGTGAAAATGAACTTTGTGGAGCTCCCACGTTCAATTTGGGAATATTGTATCAATGTTAATCGGTTAGGATTCAGAGTGTATCCATTTTGAAATCATTTCCACAGATGATATTATATGTCTGTAGATGACGTTAGCTTAGAAACCGGGTCTATTTGAGCCAGAGGGACACACGGTGCCAATTCACATCAGTAGCCCCTAAGAACCTCAAGTGTAACTCATCAGGGTTGATTCTATTCAGGATAATAAGAATAATCATGTCCTATTGACAGGAGTACAACACTGAAATAAACACCGGCTCTCCTCTTTATATTGCACAGCAAGCCAGAGCAGGAAATATAGCTGTTATACTTCCATCCACACACTGACCAAAAATCAAGGACCCGTGACCTCTTACACACTACATTAGTTAAACCAAGACAACGTTATTCGAGTCAATAACGAGAGCGACCTCTGTGAAAATGCAGGTGAAAAGAAGACTCAATAAATTGACATGAAAGATACCATCACGTAGTAGTTTTATTTTTTTTCCATTATGTTATCTCCCATCAAATTGAGGCTGAGTTGGCTGAGGAGAATCCAAAAGAAGCAGAAAATGAAGGGGAAACTCAGATTAAAGATAGAGAGACGCTTGCAGGCGGCGATAAAGACGGCAATGAGGTTCCACAGAGAAACTGAGAGTGGAGATCGATGAATGTGAGATGGTTGGTAGTGATACAAAAAAAAAACATCAAGAGGAGGAGTTTGATATAAAATACTGTGTGGTAGTAGTACTGATAAGTTTACAGTTACATTGAACCTTCGCTTGTTCAGACCCACACTATCACACAGATACACACACATACATATAAACAACAATCACACACACTCATACATGCACATAAACACACACATACAGAAACGAGAGCTGGTCCCCTGTTACGTTCTCAGCAGATAGAGTTCTATATGATCACCTCGATTATGAGAGGATTAATGCACCTTTTCCTCAATTCATTCAAATCAGCCTCTTCAGAAACCCCCATTCCAAAGTCGCACCCTCAGTAAACTGCTGTCGTGTCTCTGGATGCACCTGTCAGCTGTGAGAAAGTCAAACTTGGAAAAGGGCAGCTTTTTCCCAGTTTACTGCCTGCAAATCACACGACAGCAGATTGTTGAGGGTGTGGATTTGAACAGGAGGCTTCACATATGATTCTGTCTTGTGTCTATGGGAGCGCTCGGAGTCTGCAGTTTATTTTGTCAGCAGCTCCGGAAAACAATTTCGTGAAAGTTTGATCGGAGGTTAATTTGGTTTCCTCTCGGTGTGAGTTTGAGCTCCTGATAGCACACTACAGCAGCCCAGGATTCACGTAAACCCCAGCGGACGCAGAGCCCATCTGCGGTTCAAGGAAGTTTTTGTACTGGGGTGAGACAGTTTCTCATCACCGTGTAGTCACTGAAACCGCAGTAATACATGGCAGTGTCAGTCAGCCGTAGCCCAGCGATAGCCAAACTCGTCAATTTTTTCGAGGTCTCAAGTTGCATAGAGAAACGATCTTGCACAAAACTTGCTTTACCATCATCACCATCAGTATCTTGCCACAGAATAAACTCAGGCGGTGTGTCTGGGTGCTGACGGTACCAGTATAATGTATAACTGCTCGATGTAGTATCATAGGTGCAGTTTAGAGCCACAGCCTTTCCTGCTTTCTGAACATATGAGGAAGGTGACTGAGTGACAGAATCTCCATGACTCATGTCTGAAAGGGAAAACAGACATAAATTGTCAAGTGTCAGGCTGTGGTCAGTTCATGCTATGATCGAATGAACAAATGTTAAATGCATTTGCTTCAAGTTTACCTGTTAGAATTGCTCCCCACACAACCCAGATGCTAAGTAGCCGCATTGCTGCTGTCCTCTGTGCAGCCGGATATTTGAAGGCACCCATTCTATAAACCCGCTGTCAGTAAAATGCTGACGTGTCTCTGAAGGTTTCCACTTCACTGGCTTGTGGGTGGGAGGAAGAGAGCAGACTCGCAGTGAATTGACACATCCGAGAAGAGTTACAGTCACTGCACTTAAAATGCATCAGTGAGAATTCTGATTGACTGACCTCCATCCATGATAAGCAGTTCCCCAGAATCATTGTACACTTGACTCTGAATACCCTTTTTTTTTAACTGCCCACTTCCCCAGTTGATGCCAATTTTTCTTCTTAATCAGTTCGCAAGTCACCAAAATTGCTGACGCTCCTCGCCGAGATTTCCCCCCGCCCATACTCCTCGCAGCCCCACAAACTGTTCCCTTTCTGAATACAGCCCCTCAAGCCCCACCTTCTCCATCATTGGAAGCAACCTCAGTCGTAACCAGCATTATCTCCATTATCACTTTTACCAAACTCTGCATTCTGCTCCTCTATTGCTGTTTCTCTGTCCTCAGGCTCAAGATTACCACTGTCTCCCTATGTTACTCCCTCTCAGCGTTCTTCACGGATCTCGCTCTCATCTTCCTCCTTCCTCTCTGTAGGTGCTTTCTGACTCACTGAACACAGAGGCCTCACACGGCAGAACCCACTGCACATCTGCATAATTTTTCAGTCGTGATCCTCAGGTCATGGGGATACAATGGCCTAGTGGTATTAACACTGGACTGTTAATCCCGAGACCCAGACGATGTTCTGAAGACACGGGTTCGAGTCTCGCAATAAATATTTGGAATTAAGAGTCTGATGACCGTGAACCCATCGTCAGTTGTTGGGGAAAAACCCACCCGGTTTACTAGTGCCCTTTAGGGAAGGAAACTGCAATCCTTACTTGGTGACTCCAGACCCACAGCAATGGGGTTGACTCTTAACCACCCTCTGGGCAATAAATGCTGGTCTAGCCAGCGAGGTCCTCATCCCATGAATGAAAGGAAAAAAATCTTCAGTTCGACCACACTGTGTGTGGATATGGATGTTTCTGTGTGTGGGGGTGTCTCTGAGCGTGCTTGCTCTTCTCTCTGTGCAATGGAAGATATTTTTCAGGGCATCCAAAGCCTCTCTGCGTTGCTTTTGCCGAAGTGATACAATGCCACCCTCTGCTGACTGTCTGAAGTTACTGTAACCGCAATGTGAAAATGGCCAGGGTATCAGTCAGGGACAGAACAGTAGCGTCAACATACATATATAGACAAACAGAATCAGTGTGGGTATTAGAGAGGTGGCCATAGAAAAGATTACAGAGGGGTAAATGTGGGGATTACAAAGAGGGTGCGATGTGGGCAGCGTGAGGATTACAGACGTAAGTTCTAATCAAGTTCTCTCAGAATCATATGTTTCAATTCAATCACGTGAGAATTTTGCAATCTCAAGAGGTTACAAGTCCAACCTATACAGTCTTTCCATGTCTATCTCAGTCTTGAACATACGTAGCACACAAGCTGTTATAAACAATTCCACACATTCTTTTCCCTCTAAAGAAGAAGTGTCCCTTCAACTCAGTTCTGGCAAGATGGCGGCAGAGTAGGATGCTCCTGCCAGAGTTCCTCTGCTCAGCCTGTTCTTTTTCTTTGTTTTCCTATTTATTGTCCTCTTTCTTTTTCTCCTTCTCTCCGGTCAGCTTCGGTAGTGAATGCTGATAGAGCAGCAGGCGCCAGCAGCAAGTCCCTGGAGCAGCATGGCCCGGAAAAGCACATGGGCTGTGATCCCGGGAGCAGCACGTGGGCTGTGAGCCCTGGAGCAGTGTGTAGGCTGTGAACCTGAGAGCAGTGCGTGGGCTGTGATCCCGGGAGCAGCACGTGGGCTGTGAGCCTGGAGCAGTGTGTAGGCTGTGAACCTGAGAGCAGTGCGTGGGCTCTGAGCCCCGGAGCAGCACGTGGGCTGTGAGCCTTGGAGCAATGCGTGGGCTGCAAGCCCGGGGCCAGCACGTGGGTTGTGAGCCTGGGAGCAACGCGTGGGCTGCGAGTGCAGGAGCAGCGTGTGCGCTGTGAGCCAGGGAGCAGCAGGTGGGCTGTGAGCCCTGGAGCAGTGCGTGGGCTTGGAGCCTGAGAGCAGTGTGTGGGCTGCGAGCCCGGGAGCAGCACGTGGGCTGTAAGCCCTGGAGCAGTGCGTGGGCTCGGAGCCCGGGAGCAGTGTGTGGGCTGCGAGCCCGGGAGCAGCACGTGGGCTGTGAGCTCTGCAGCAGTGCGTGGGCTGTGAGCCCCGGAGCAGCACGTGGGTTGTGAGCCTGGGAGTAACGCGTGGGCTGCGATTGCGGGAGCAGCAGGTGGGCTGTGAACCCGGGAGCAGCACGGGAGTTGTGAGCCTGGGAACAGTGTGTGGGCTGTAAGCCCTGAAGCAGTGCGTAGGCTGCAAGACCGGGAGCAGTGCAGAGAAGCAACCAAGGATCATCGCGAAGGCAGCGAGTCCTGGGCAAACACCAGCCTGGGGGAGGCAGTCCTGGCACTTACCCTGGAGCAGCTGAGTGCCGGTGTAGAGCAGTATGAGACTTGGAGCACAGCAGGGATGGCTGTTGGACTGGCCAATCAGACCACGTGTGGAGGCCCTACTGTAAGATGTTACACTGCATTGTCTATTTCAAATTTCCTTCCTTGCTGTAATGTCAACCCTTTAATGACTTTCTATTTTCAACTTACTTTTCAACTCCGTAGGTTACACAACTACTTCTATTCTTCTGCTGTGCCCAAGAATTGTATCTGGGTACTTGTAACTAAGATGTCGCTGTAAGAAGGCAGACATTGTGAAAGCTTTTCACTGTACTCCTAAAATGAAATACACGTGACAATAAAAGATATTCTATTGTATTGTATGTTAAATGTGTGAATCCTTATTCTGATATTATGCCTTCTGCTCCTAGACTCCCCCACGGGATAAAATAACATTTCTGCGTCCACTTCGTCAATTTTTCATTACACACATCCAGATCATGTGGCACTTGAATGTGAGCCTCATGACACAAATAGGGGCGCTACCACAATGGTACAAAATCCCTCCACACAGCTCGCTCATTATCCGACGAATAATGCTGATGATCATAAAACACAAAGCATGTTTACTCGCATCATTTCTCTGCAGACCTCCAATCCTGGATTAACACAAACTAATTATGTTCTACTTTCGTGGGGTTCGAATCGGAATGGTTCCACGCTTTAGAGTCCAGGAGTGGAGCTGAATGTCTGGTCTGTTAATGGTCACTAACAAATCAAGAAATTGAGCAGGTTTTCCAGCATTACGAAGACGGCTGAAGTACAACCCGCCATTTTAAGAGAATCTAACTTTGAGTCCGTTATATGAGTCAGCCTCATTACATTGTGAGATCTGTCTATTGTGTGCAAACGTTCCGTGATCCAGAAACTAGCACTGAACAAACACTACCTCTTAACAAAACGTGGATTGTTGGAGATGAGGAGTGAACTGTTCAGAATGACAGGCGGGTGAATGCAGAGAAACAAAGGACAAAAGGAACATTAGAATATCTCCAGGGAATTTATGAACGTCAGCTGGACCTGCGAGTTGAGCGCAGTAAAGACTGCACACTGTCTCTGTTGGAGTTGATGTTGCTGTCAGTTTGAAAGGTTCTGGGCGCTACTGTCCTCCCTCTTTGAGTCCCAGAACAGTTTGACCTGCAGTAACGGACATCCACCAGCAGAGAGTACATTGCATCACGCTGAACGAAAGGGAGGGAAACAGAGAACGGGCTTGAGATTTCTTGATCAATTCATTTATCATCATCCCTGCAGTCAATTTATCTCACAAAACCACACACAGCTGCTTCTGAGTTGATATTATATCCGTGAGACAACACTTCAGGTGAACGTTTCTAATCTTTTTAACATGTTTGTCATCAGACACTGAGACATCCAGAACATTGGGTTGGCACGGTGGCTCAGTGGTTAGCCCTGCATCCTCATAGCTCTCGGGACCCGGGTGTACGCTCTCCCTGAGCGTCTTTGTGGGCTTCTGTCAAGCGGTCTGGTTTCCTCCCACAGTCCAAAGATGTTCAGGTTAGGTGGATTGGCCATGCTGAATCGCCAACAGGGTCGAGGGACGTGAAAGTCAGGTGAATTTTCGGTGGGAAATATAGGTTACAGGGGTGAGTCCGGCTGTGTTGCTCTATGCAGAGTCAGTATGGACTTGTTGGACCGAAGGGCCTGGTTTCATACTGTAAGGATTGTATGAATACGCATCAAAACACACATGCAAAACCTCCAAAACAAACATGGATAACAAAACTTTCTAACCTACACACACACACACACACACACACACACACACACACACACACACACACACACACACACACATATAGATTAGCAGTAACATCTGCATGCACAGATGGAAACGGTTGCCTTTAGTTTAGTGTGTTGGTGGAAGTATAATGACAGCACTTCCTGCCGTGGACTATAAAGAGGAAAGTCGCTGTTTATTTCGGTGTTGTACTCCTATCAATAGGACATGAAGATGGAGTTGTGATTAACGTTGATTATCCTCAGTGCAATATTTCCAGGAGAGTTACACTTTAGATTCTCGCCCCTAACCGTCATGTGATCTTTACGCATTTCCATTTTGAGACAGCAATATTACTAGGTGGTTAAAGATGCCCTTTATTATTGAGTGTTTGGAGGTAAGCGTTAAAAAAAAACTGGCAGCACCTTCCAAACCAACGACCATTTCCTTCTAGATGGACCAGGGCAGCTGATGCATGGGAATAGCATTAGCGTCAAGTTCCCCTCCAAATCACTCATCACCCTGACTTAGAAATATATCACAGTTCCTTCATTGGCACTGGGTCAAAATCGTGTACTCCACTCTCTAACTGCTCCCTGCGTCTCCCTCCACAACAAAGGTTACAGCAGTTTGAAAAAGCAGCTCACCACCACCTCTTCCATGGGCATTAGGGATGGGCAACAAACACCATATCAACTAGCGCCGCCCACATCTGCTCAGGGATCTAATCACCCGGTAGCCAACAGCATCGTTGGGGCATCAAGTCGAGACATTTTCTCAGACTGAGTGTTGAGAAGCAAAGACTCTGACATATGGTGGGATGATGTGAATGGTGTAAATGTCTTTCTTTTCACTGACATATTAAAAAGCCCAGCGGTGAGAAGACTTTATTAAAAAATTAATTTGAGGAGAAACCAGCTGTATGAATATATGCCAGAATGTGCCCATTGGAATGAACGGCCAGTTTCCCCATTGAAAAATGCGTTTCAGGGAGCTGAATGCTTGCACCCCTTCTATCCTTTCACCATTTCTCCCATGGGGTTTGATTCCATGTTACAGAGCTCCTGGCCAAAGAACGGATCAGACAGTCACTTCCCACACTGGTGGCTGTGGAAGGCTCCTCGGTGACAATGAACTGCAGCACCAGCAACTTGCTCAGTTTTGTGAACTGGTACCGGTGGCGTGAAGGTTGGGAGCTGCAGCTTCTGATCACTGCCAAAGGCAGCGTGGTCAAAGCAGGGAGGATTCAGGCCGCTCTTCACCGGGAACAGAAATACAGCACTTTGACCATCAGAGACACCGGGATGGAGGATGCTGCCGTCTACCTCTGCACGGTGATCATTACTGTGTTCCAACTCAGTAGGCGGCCACTACAAAAACCGTAGGGAGACAGGAGGTATACCGACAGCCTCACCACCTCAACCGCAACAACATTACAGAGTAGCGGTTACAAGTGAGTGAAAATGAGTTTTGTGGGACTCCCACATGCAATGTGGAAACTGGGACGATTCTGTGACTTTAAGAGGTTTTACCTTTGCCCTGTTTTCTTTAAAGAGAGAGCTTGAATAAGCGGTGTAGAACTGGCTAGTGAAGACCACTTGAGAAAAGAGCTTGGCAGACTTGAGGATTTTTTTTTAGCAGCCTGAATGGTGTGGCCAGATCTCACAGATCAGGATGTTTTCATAGAATCCCTACAGTGTGGAAACAGGCCATTCGGCCCAACAAGTCCACAGCAACCCTCACAGCATCCCACCCTGACCCATCCCGCATTACCCACCTAATCCACACATCCCTGAACACTACAGTCAATTTAGCATGGCCAATCCACCTAAGCCTGCGCATCTTTGGACTTTGGGAGGAAACCGGAGCACCCAGGGGAAACCCACACAGACACAGGGAGAACGTGCAAACCCCACACAGTTAGTCACCTGGGGGTGGAATCGAACCCAGGTCCCTGGTGCTGTGAGGCATTAGTGCTAACCACTGAGCCACATTTCTGGGTTTTGTTTTTTTTTTCCAGAACCATCAGAAGATGTTGGGGTCTCCACAGATTTAGAAGTTTCAGTAAATGTCTCCTGGCTGCTACTCTCTCCAAACTTTCTCTTGATTTTTTCCCCTATTGGGTTAGAGAACTTCATGCGACAATCTGTGTCTAAAATAGCCTTTTTTGCCTAGGAGTGTATTTATGGGATATTACTACATTGGAACAGCCAATTAGTAATAATTACTGCATCTATTATTCAGCAATGTTTTCTACTAAAATTAACTTATTCTAAATTCTTTCTTTGGTTGTATTTTAACGACAGTGTTTAAATAAATTGTGTTTTGCTCTATGTTAGTTAATTTGATCAGTTGAATAGCAGGTGGAACACAATATGTTACGTCTGCCTTTAAAATAAGAAAACGTTAGGGTCGAGGCTACCTTATACAAATATTTTGAGGGAGTGTTGTCTGGTCCATAACAGACTGCGGGCTCTTGTCAGGACCAACATTTCCAATTCCAGGTTTGAGTTTAGACTTACTGTGTTCAAAGGCAGCCAGTAGTAGGAGTTAATGTATTTTGTTAGGGTGTTGAATTCAGTTGCGTTAAACAGAGTGTGCCTTGTTTAATAGTGACTCTTGCAGTCATTAAGGGTTTTCTAGAGGTGGAAGAAGTGACTTGGGGAGTTTTACAGGAAGTGAATTAGGCGAATTTTTCTGA